AAATCCACATCGCCATTAAGTACTAACAGAAAAAAATGAAAGGTCAAATTTTCCATCCACTATTTCTCAAATTTCAAAATGAAACCAACTGATGAATAATTCCAATGATGATGCCTGATCCTTTTCCCGACGAACTATGTGTTTTGCCGCCGGAACCCATCATCTAATTCATCACCACATGCTGACGCCGGAACTGTGTGTATCTTCTTCTGGTATTTCTGGGTCAGACCATTTGTCGGTTGGAGAAACATATTCCTGCAACGAAGTTTTAGGGTGGCGTGGGGGAAGGAGGTGTTGGAGGCTTGAAATCTGAATAATATGGGTATGGCGAGAGTGATCTTGACAGTCTTGAATTGATTCTGCTAAAACCCAACATTACCCTCCGCCCCCTTTAAATCCAACCTAATTGGAATATGCCCCAAAGCTTCTCGAAGATACCAACTGACCTGCAAGGACAACACTCCCCTCTTTCATGGCAAACGCGAACCCTCGTTGCCACGGAGATATGTTCATACCTCTTCTTTCACCAATCCAGCGCACTTCATAGTGTTGTACACGTGGATCGGAAGCTCGCCAATACCCTCTTTCTTTTTCTTCTCCTTCTTCCTCCGCCCTCTTCTCCTATGTTTTTTCACCATGCGACACTTCCAACTGTTTTACCAGCTTGTAGGGGTGTTGTAGAAATGGACCACACCATTACCTAGTGCAAGCAAAGGTGGACAATTGAGGAGATGGTCTCTCAGTTTTATCAGCTCTTCGACAGTATTCCTCACCATGCCCAGCTTGATAAGTTGTTTAGGCTTTAGGAATCGTCTTCTTGTCGAAGAACGAAGAACAGAGGAATCCCAATTGGTTGTTGGTGTGGTGGCCTTTGTAACATAGATGAGTAAACATACTCCTTTCATTAATCCCAAGCGGATCTCGAATTCTCTAATTCTATTATGCACTGTTGAATAAATGACATTCAGAAATGAAAGTCAATACAGATTTAGAAATCGGTGGAATAACTCGTAGCCATCTAAAATTTTAACAAGGAGATTTATTTCCATTGAGGATTTGGTGGTAGAAGCTCTCTTCAACGGAGAGAAAGAAACTCTAATTCAACCCGCAACATATCTCTCCAAACTAACAAGTGAAGCAAAAAATTTATTGGTCGAGAAGGTGTCGCCACTCCTCCTGTCTTCATGATTCGTTCTAAATAAGCTTACAAGGCCATCGAAGTTGCTCTTTTTTCCTTACTCAGTCTCGTCACTTGTAATCAAAGGTATGTTACTTAACTTGTGACACCGTGTGTGACGTGATCTTCATCTTCCGCTGCAACTTCCGCCACTACTACAACTTCCGTCACCACATAGAGCGCCACAGCCACCCAGAACGCTCCCCAATCGAAAACAAAAGGCGCAAATAAGCACAGAACATGCCTCGTCAACACTACCTCCCTGTTGTGGCCACATCCAGAGAATTCCACTTCCTTACCCTCCTCCTCTGCTTCACCATCACATCCGACAACAGAATCCTCCCAAATTTATTCTCAGTTGCCGCCGCTTCCACAATCAATAGCGGCCTTTCTCTGGCGGTGGCTGGTCCCCTGTTTATGTTTATTCGATGAGCGTTTATTGGAAAGATGTTTATCTGATAAACACTCACTTTAAACGTTTTTTATTTTGTTGTTTGGTTAAGGCATTTCAAGAAATATCCCTTTACAACTCAGCACAATAAACGTTTTTTCATTTCATGCTGCTTGGTGGGGCGTTTCAAGAAATAGCCATATGGATGTTTCAATGTAAGACTTTCACTTTGGTGTATAGGATCCATTAGTCAATCGAACAGTTCAAATTACATGTACTTGTATTTAAAAGACCGATTTTTAGATCCAACGATGAAAATATGATATAATCCACATTCAACGGTGGATATATGACTCTCTCTCTATATATATCCACCCCTCTCTTTTTTATTTTGTTATTTCATTAATATTTTGTTAATTGGATTAGGAGGCATTCCTTTTTCTTGCTAAAGGAAAATAAGGAAATGTATTATAAATTAACAAAGTTTTATAAAAACTATTCCACATGAATACTCAATTCTCACTTGGCCAAGCTCATCCGGATGCTTTACTAAATTTTATTTATCCATGGACCCTTACCCCTCCCCTCCCCCTATCCTTTTTTATTAGGTCTAGCACGTGAATCCATTTCTTTAGATGGTTTTGCTCTACAGTCCCTTCACTGAGTCAATATTTGCTCTACAAGTGTATGAGAAGGGGAGGTACAGGCCCTGTATTTTTCACTTTCTCAGCCCTCTTTAAGGCTTGTGCTGCAGCCCTCAATGTCAATCCTGGGTGGCAAATACATTGCCAAACTATTTTGGTTGATAGGTTTGAGTAAGATCTTTATTGATGCAACAAAATGTATATATCTAGAATGTGGCTGCTGAATATTTGATGCAACAAAACGTATATATCTACAAGTTGCAGAGTTGTTTGATGATTTGCCTGAAAAAGACATGGTGGCATGGGCGGCAAATGTCACAGGTTATGCCCAAAATTGAAGGTCAAAAGGAACCACTAAGATTTTTCGAAGAAATGCAGGATGTAGGTGCAGAAACAGATGAAGTCACATTAACTGGAATGCATTCTGTTATACTGCAGTGATGTCAGTTCATGGACAGGCTGTTTCATCAATAGATTGTTCTCTGAGATGACAGAGATAGAGGTAGGGTTTCCATTACACATCTGCCCTGAAGCCTATTGTCCGAGAGACTGGTTTGATAGAGGCAGCCTTGCTTCTACTTGTTTTCTTTTGGGAATCTATTGCCTTTCTGAGTTTCTAACCATGATTTTCTATTTTACTTGTGTTATTTCCTGATAAAAAAGACATCTTATTTTGACCTTTAAACGGGATTAACAAAAATTCTCTCATGCATTTGAATCTGATCGACTTCTATTTAAGGATATGAAAATATTTGAAATTACTTACAAACTTTCCTTCAACTTTTTTGTTTTCCTTTTATTTTCTGTCAAAACAAATACAACCTAAAGGTTGTGGTAGATCAGATGAGGATATCACCTCTATATTGGAATTTTTATTTCGATGACTTGACCATTCAACCCATCACCCATTCTACCATTTTTTAATCTATTCATAGTATAGATTTCTATTGAATGCTAGAATATTCCTATTAAATTTTGATGAGTTGACCATTCAATATCACCTCTATATTGAATGCTAGGATATTTCTATTTTCCAACTTCATTTTTTTAATCTATTCATAGTATATAGAATTTTTAAGTGTTTCAAGTTTCAACAGTTATTCATACGCATGGGCATCCATCATTTTACTCTTTTATGTTTTGAAAGCCCAACCTAATTGACATCATACAAATCTTAAGAATTTGTCTTTGAAATTCTATTGTATATGGTTAAAGTAAACACTCAAATTAACTGAATTGCTTATGCAGCATAACAAGTGAAATCAACAGTAATCGAAATCAACTGAATAATCTGCAGTATAACAAGTAAAATCAACTATAGCCAAAACGAATATGCTTCTCACTCCATCTCTAACAAGGATCAGGAAATGCAAGATGACAGTGTGATAGATGCAATCAGTGAGTATCTTTTCAAGCTCAAAATCAAAGAAGAAATACATCGTAAAGAGTAAAGGGTGAAAACGAGAGAAAATGATAGATCTGTTTGCGGGCTAAAAGAAGAACACAGGCTCGAAGAAGAAAATGATAGACAGAGACCTTAGGAAAAAACAGAGGGGAAAATCGAAAGAATAGAAAACGATAGATCTATTACCTTGCTGACGAAGAATGACGTCCACTGCTCCTCCGGGCTCCGGTGTCACTCCTCCGATCATCTATCTGCGGGCGGTGTTAAGCTTGCTCGTGGTCAAGGTTTCAATGAATAGAGAAACAATAAGAAGAAATTCATGGGACGGTAGATTGGGCTGCACCGGATCAAAACTTGCGGGCACCACATCATACGACATGTAAGCTCCATGTCAGCTATAAGTTTCATGAAACGCGCAGCCGTTGGGGGAAGTGAAAAAACGGCTATATGCACGAAAACCAATGCAAATCAATGGATAAACGTTTATTTGCGTTTTTTTAATAAACGAGTGCACCAAACAATGTTTTTTGAGCCAAAAAACGTTTATCCCACCAAATGCTGATATGGCGCTGATGTGGAGCTATCTTTTCAATAAACGTAAACAGTTCCAAACATACCCAAAATCACCATCGTTGTTGCAGCAGGTTTCTAGTGGCAAAAACAGTGGGAAAATGGATCAGGGTTACCTCCACTCCCTTCAACTCTGTTTTTGGATCTATTAAAATCATCGCCACCATTGCAACTTCTAACAGTGGTAGTGAATAATAAGGGTATTTTAGGATTTTTAAAACAATTATCACTCATGTAATGTTACATGTGAACGGAGTGTGATAGAAAATTAACGACAATGGAGGTTTTAGACAATTGTCAGAAAACTTAAAGGTATTTGAAGACAATAGCTAAACAACAAGGGTGGAGTTAGTCAATTAACTAAACAATAAGGACAGTTTAAGGAAATTGCCCTTATGTATATTATATATAAACATTTATATATATTATATTTTCTATATATTATAAATTAATAAATATGCATTATATATAATTAATTATTTACTACTTAAAATATAATATAATATATAATATATAGTTTTTATAACTGTAGGCGTTTGTGGGGGCGCCTCTGTGGGGCGCAGATGTGGTTTCTTACCAAGAATTAACCCCAAAGCAAAGCAGATATACGAATTTGGGACCACTAGAAGCAGCTACGCTCCGTTGCCCGTTCATACTGGCAACTTGACTAAAACTTGATGTATGATAAAAAAATGGACGGTGCAAGATTCGGGAGCAGTTTAATAACGTGTTTCAGAAAGACAAGATGAAATTCCTGTAATGCAGCGAGGTCACATTCCCGCCAAAATATTTGGCGCCAGATCTGTCTGTATACTTCACTTCTATTTCACAAGCGAAACCTTTTTCTTGCTCTATGATTGTTGCATAGCTCGTCGGAGGCGCGACCAACTTAGGTAAATTTTCTTCTGCTTTATTCATTATGTTCTTCTCCAAGTTCTACTACTACGAGCAGTAATTAATGGTGTTTTTTTATCTCTATCGATTCCGAAGTTCTGTCTCATTTTAAGTTTTGCTGAGTTCCGAGCTCTATTGTGGACGCCTTTTTTTGTGATTATTCTCTGTTATTTTACAATCTCGAATATTCACATTCTGAGTTTTTGAGTTTTCAATTGCATTTTCTATATGCAAATCAGTTCCATTTGGTCACATTTATTGCAGGTCGAAAGATCTATGTTTTGTGCGGCATATAGATGCACCATCATCTTGAGGAGTTGTTGGAGTTAGGTGTTTCCTTTTGCATATTTTTCCTCTCTTAGGCTCTTAGGGCTTTTAATTTCTAAATTGAAGCTGTTAAAGCTTATATTAAAAGCCGGTTGCCTAATTGCCTATGAAAAAGGAGTTATTTGAGACTTAGGGTTTCCGCAGGCAAAGCATGGATCTTTTGTCTTGCATTTTGTTACATGAAATGTTTTACTGTTGCTTCAGTATTACGAAAACATGTAAAAGCTCCCTTTCTGTCTGTCTGTCTTCGCGTCTACGTATTTGTACTTGTATGTATGTGCGTCTCATCTGATACAGAAAATTTCCCTATTTTTGTTTATGTGAGACTGGCTCGCAGTTTCTATTATTTAGAGGCATAGCTTTAATTTACTGTTGAACTAATATAATGGAGAAACTCCGAACTTAGAAGTGGATTCTTTTGTTTGTTTTACTGATTCGGCAGCTTCAGATTTCTTTTTTTTTTTGTTTTGCTTACTGATTTGTTTGGCTCAAGAGAGTGGAACTTTTTACAACCTGTTTGCTTTTTTTCTTTCATTATTTTTTCGTCATGTTATTGCTTTGATTTTGTTCTTCTCATTAAATGAGGCACTGTTGTTAATGCTTTTGATACATGTTTCCATTACATTGAACTCTACACGAGATGTACTATGTAATTGGGGGTTCACTATTTTGCAACAGAACGGATGATCTTTGAATTACTGGTGTTTGTTATGCTATTCCTTTTTTTTTTTTAATTTTTACTTCTACTTTTGCCTTTTTACCCATGCTTTTTTTGCCTTGTTTATCAATAAATTTTGCAAGTCAGAGGAAAATTTTATCTTCTGAATTGGATTACATTCAGTTCTGTCCTTCCTTGTCTCAGCTACATATTACTCATTTTTCTTCTTAGTCTGTTCTAAAAAATTTAAACACAAGATATCTTTATTGTATCTACACCATATACTAGAGACAGTTCTATTTTATTTTATTGGCCAAACCATTGAAGCTGGTCTCTGCATTGGTGATTGTCTTCTCCAGAATTAAAATTACTTTTTTTTAAATGCAGGATATTAGTATTACTCCTTTCTCCATATAATTGGCAGAGGAATATAGTTGTATCTGTAACTAATGGAGCTGAGGAAATGCACCCGTGTACACTGTGTTCAGGCAATTAAAAGGGGTTTGGTGGAGAAAAGCCTGAATGTAGATTCTAATGGAAGACCAGCATCTAGGTTCAAGGACATTAAAGCTATATATGAATCTGAAGATGCCAAAAGTAGATGTATGCACTCAACAGTTCATGAACATGAAGTTGGACAACTTGCTTGTGCAGTGGCAAAAATTGAAGAGCCGTTTCTTCACCGGGTTGAAAGAAGACTCCAAAATGTTTCTGGAATTTGTGAACCAAATGTAAATTGTACTGTTAACAGCATAAACAATGACTGTGATGACTTTAGCTTTGGTGAAATGACATTGAGACAGCTACTGAAGAAATGCAAAACGAAGAAGCGGAAGCTTTCAAAATATAAGGGATTGATAGAACATGATACCGGTTCCTGCTTGCATGTAAAACAAGAATGTGGTGATGTACAACATGAGGAGGAATTTGATCTTGAGGCACCTCTTAGCAGATGGAAACAGAAGTTTTCCAAAAAGTCAAAGGGTAAACAGAACTGCATCAGCAAACATGTGCCTTCATCTTCCAAGTCTTCAATTACAGTAGAAGGAACTCGGCAGACCGCAAGTGCATCTCAAGCTTCAATACAAAGTACTGGGGATTCAGATGGAACAGTCACTGTTAAAATTGAATATCCTGAACCTGATGTGTCAGAATGCTATAATGCAGTCCCTGTATCTGGTAGTTGTATCTCAGATCGCCCTGTACCAATGGATTTTAGTGGAGATTTAGCTGATGAAATGACAGAGAGAATAAATGGACATCAATTGGACTCTGAGGAGTCAACTTTTCTAACTAAAGAATCTTCATGTTGTGTTGCTAAGGAAGATTCAATTGATAATTTGGTGCATGAGGAGCCTATTTCTCTTCCTGCAGATAACTCAGTTGAGGAAACTATGAAGTTGAGTGTTTCAGAAACGAATAGTGATATGCTACTTATTTCCCATTTTTCTGAACTTATGAAAGAAGAGACCAGCAGTCAACCTCACAACCATGCAACACTGGATTCTAATGTAAAGTTAGATGAAGTTACAGAAAGAGTTAATGGAAGTGACTTGGAGACTGAGAAGCCACTTCTTACTAAGGAAATTTCAAGTTGTGCTGTTAATGAAGCTTCTATTGAGTATTTAGACCATGGGGTCCCTACATCACTTCCTGGAAGTTCCACAGTTGGGGAAACCATAAGGCTAAGGATTTCAGAAATGACTAGTCATGAGTCTCTTCTTTGTCCATTACTTGAACTTAAGAAAGAAGACACCACTTGTCAACTCCCTAGTGACAGATCTATGGAAGCAAACTCTTTCTCCAAGGATCCTGAATCAGGAAGGAATGGAATCTGTGAAAGCCATTCTTTTATGGAGGAGAATATATCATATGAAATGGATAGCAATGTTGTGACCCAGATGGATGATAAGGTGACTGATGATAGCCTTATATGCACAGAACCTTATTATGGTGATCATGGATGTGTGCTGAAACAAAAAAATGAGGCTGACAGACAGGAGGGTATTGCTTCAGATACAGAACACAGTGCTATTAGTATCTCTGAGAGTCTTTGCATGTCATCCCAGGACGCTTATCCTTGTGATTCCAGTTCCATGGCTTGCAATTCACCTACAACTGAAAAAATTTGCACATCTCTTATGGTCGAGAGTCCAACATCTCTTACTATTGACAGATTAGGAGACTGCTCTATAGGAACTCATCCTTCTGTTGCTACTAATGAGCATTCTAATGTGGAGGCACTTGAGAATCACCATGCTGTGAAGCTAGGGCGATCTCCAAAAAGGCTTTTTTCAACTAGACAGGTGAGGACTATACTTCTCTTTGTTTTCAATTTGACATTTAGCTATTTTTAGAAGTGTTTTATGATAAATGCTTTTCAGGTCATTTCTCCTACTTCTCAGGAAAAGCTGCGCCATGCTGTGGATTCCAATGAGTTACTGGATGATGTTGGGCTGCCAAGTAAGTCATGAAAAGATTCATATTGTAATTTACATGATCCATCTTTAAATCAGTGTTTTAAAAAGCACTGGAAGTGTATGCCTGGAGGTGCAACTCCAGCTGAGGTGCTAAGGAAATGCCTAGAGGTGTATACTTCCAGCCACATATGCTTTTATATGCCTCTATTGCACTTTATACAAGAGGCTTATGCCACATATGCTCTTATATTTAAGCCCATTTTTGTATTTAGAATGCTATAAGTGGGGGAGCCATTTTATCATGTTCTCCAATATATGTTAGCATAATGCAGAGAATTAAAAACGAAAATCCTCCAAATTTGTCTATTGTAATATTATTAAAATGCCCTTGTGCAGATTTGCTGGCTCCCCCCACACCTCTATCCCAAAACCTGATCATAGCACACTAGATATATGAACCCAGACACATAAGACCATAGCAGCAAAATATAAAATATCTACACAACACTTATGCCTCCTCGTGCTCAGGAGGCTTACACCTCTTGCATTCTGATTACCCGTATCAAAGTTGAACTTTTATTATAAATGACCAATGATTGGTTATCAATTGGTTTTCTTGACAATTTACTCAAGGGAAAATTTTTAACAGCTAAAAAACACATTGTATCAACATTATAGAGAAGATTCAGTAAAATGGGTATAAAAATCGTAGGCTGGACCTATTCTAATGATTTTCAAGTTACTGCAATCATTTAGTGTGGATCATCTTTTTAAAGGTTGATTATGTATTTGGTTTTGTGGGTGGGTCAAAACACTCTTATGCCTTTCTTGTGCACCTTTCATCACATTATTTCTGATCAATGTTACAATTATTTCAGAGTGTAGGGAGAAACTATGCTCTGGGAAATGGATTAAGAATAAGGCTTCATTAGTAGGATCAGGTCTTGAGGGAGCTGAAGTCACAGCTGTTCCTGTCCGAATTGTTAAGAAACAGAAGAATGACATCAATGGATGTTCAGCATCAATTCCTAAAGGCATTCTTAAGGCTCCTCATGCTGATAGTGTCTGCACGTCAGTTCATGCTTGTGCACAGGATGCCATTCAATTCTCACAGCGCCAGATGCATGATATAGAGTCTCTTGCAATTCTGCTCACTAAAGAGTTGAATTCCATGAAGAATATTGTGGAAGAACGATTGCAATGTGAAGTATTTTCATCTTCATATTCAAAATATACTGTGGATGAGGTATGTAAGCATGAATATCTGCAGGTGTGTCTTTGTCATCTGATATCAAACATTTAGCAAATTATTGATCTTGTATTCTTCATAAAGAGATCAAATACCAATGCAAACAAATTAGGTTTTATTACACCCATGCTCGTTCCACTTGCAAAATTAGATATTTTATTGGAGAGAAGCTTTTAATAATGCATATTAGGTTTTCATTTTCTAAGTGAAGTTAGATAAATTGTTCTGGGTTGCTGATTTTGGATGATCTTCATGTGTTAGGGTTCATAGTTATCTGTTATTGACCAAATGGATTTTTCTACTTTATGACTAATAATTTTATTTGCAACAGATGAGGACGGCTTTTGAAAGTGCTGTTAAATCCGAAGAGACTGCTAGAAAATGGCTCTCCATGATGTCAAGAGATTGTAGTCGATTCTGCAAAATAATGGTTTCTTTCTTTCTTTTTCCTTTTTTTTGTCTTTTCAAACCTTTCTCCTTTCTTTTTTCTTGTCTGTGTGCACACTCAAGTACGAAATGGGTGTTTGGGTTTGCATCAATGCATGAAGAGCAATTTTTTACATTATATGTATCAAATCCTACTATAATGGACCATCAATTTTTTGACACTTGGAGGGATGGCATGGCCTTTCATATCTCACATGCAATACTCTGGCTCCACATCACCTCTCTTTCTTTCTGTCTGTTTTACTGTCCCCCACAAACGATGAAATACTAGGATATTTTAAGCAGAGAGAATTACAAGAGCCAGTCAGATGGTCCATCTGATGGGCTCTCAGACTAATGCTGGCACATTGCTCAGTTCTCCAATGACTTGTGAACATCTTAGGAGAATCCAAAGTCCTAATGGGGGTTAAATATAACCTGATTAAAAGGAGGGGGGATTGAATATAAAACAAATGAAAACCAACTTATGTGGTAAAATCACCTTCTGATCTTTGTTGCACCTTCATTGGCTGCAGAGATTGGCTGAGAAGAAGGCTGTTGCATCTGGCCATGGACTCCACAAGGAGAGGAAGAAGATAATCTTTGCAGATGAAGCTGGTGGGAGATTATGCCATATCAAGGTTTTCAGAGATGGATCAACTTCTATCTCAAGCTCAGAATGTGAGAACGAGAAACTAATGAACTAATAGTTGCATCTGCATTTTGTACATTACATCACCCAACTAGAACAAGTTTTGAGATACATCCAGACTCCTGTGGCAAAGGCGCTGCAGAACTAGATGGGAACCTGAGGAGACCATGGCTTTAGGTCTTGGGGTGGTTGTTCAGACATTCTTTTTCCCTTGTGCATCCTTGATCCTAAATGGAATTATGCTTTTAAGTTATAATCTGCATTGAGAGTTGATGAGGAATCCAATTATAAATAAAACTTTGGTTGTAATGTTGTATTGTTTCTGACCTCAGTGCAAGTGTGAAGTGTGTAACATGGAGTGGAAAGAAGCTGAGAGCCCATGATGCGCATCAGGTATTTGTCCTATTATTGCTTTGGCACTGATATTGATAACTGAACCGAAATGAACTAAAAACCGAAATGTACTAAATCTACCACCGAGGCACCGACAACCGTCTCATCATATTAAATGGAAATTGCTTTTTGACACCATTTTTAGTTAGTAACATGTTTTTGGACCTTTTCCAATTTCCCTGTAGTGTCTATGTTCTTGACTTCTTGACTTCTGTCAGTTGCTTCTCTTTCATTCCTAATAACAAATGCCCGATATCTGTACGTACTTTAGCACAAAAGTAACAAGCAGAATGCCTCAATGAAGTAAAAGCTCAATCCAGTCCACAAGATGACAGTTTCCCTTCGGGACTTGTCATCTGCATTAGTTGCCTTCTCAAAACATCAACAGCCACCAAGCCTTCTCCAGTAGCTACCGATTCAAAAGGGTTTCCTGTAGTGGCGATTAACTCAACTCTGAAGCTTCCTTTCAAAATTTACAGATGGAAGAGCACGTGCCTCTCTTGCTTTCATATTGCCGATTGTGGAATAAGAAGAAAGAGGCTCTCAGCAGATTGGCCAGTTGGTCCACCTGCCTGTCTTCTCTCTTTTACACAACTACACGCTTACACCCATCCATTCCATTACCTGTTAATTGTGTACCATTTACTAAAAGGAAGAATGCATCAAATCAAAGTAGCGGTGTTACAAGCGTGATGATCGCATCTGGATAGTATGAATATGGTCATATTCTACGAGTGTGATAATAGGATATCGCTTTGGTAGGAATCTAATCTCATTCAGTTAAATAGAATAGGGGAAAAGCAAATGCAGATAAATAGTTGTAACCTCAAGACCGAGTTAAAGACAGACTGATTACCTATTAATAACGAGGCCCAAGAAGCCAAGACTATGTAAGAGACTAAGCGCAATAGTGAGCGGATACTCTCTCTCTCAATCTAAAATATTAATATATATTTATTAAACCAAAGCCAATCCAAAATACTAGAAAACCAATTAAATCGGGTTTAGTTTGAGTGGATTGTTTATTAAAAAGTTCAAATATAAAACAATTATATATTATTGTGTATTTTTATTGTTTAACTTTTGCTTAACAAAGCATGGGTCCCCGTCACCATGCCTCTCCTTGCTCCATTGTCCCCACCCTGCATTCTCTTTGGCTTTCTCTCATCTCCCCTTCCCACCACTCCCATTAAGCCATGTCATCCAACTACCTAAAAATATTTCTATAATCTCTCTCCTAAGATATCTCATTTAAACCAATAGGAAAGTATTATGTTGCTCCACTCCTTAATGAATTCTTAAAATGCATCCCCCCCAATCTATATCCACTCTCTCTCATTTAAAATATTCATATTAATCAATAAATAGTTAAATACGATTAATATTTAATCCCATCCATATTCAATGAGTATTAAATAATATTATTACCAAAAGTTAATAAATACGGTTAGTAAATTACCAAAAATTAATATATACTGTTATTAGTTAACTCATTAACAACATTTTATAGAAATTGAAAACTCTTTAACTAATTTCTATAAAATTGGGAATTATATTTAACAATTATCAAAAAGTATAAAATTTTAGTTATTGTTATTATTATAATTAATAATCAAATACAAATGGGGAACAAAATATTATAATGTTAGAAAATGAAACTATTAATTAATTTGTATTGGAAAATGAAAGATAAATTACTGTAATTTTGTTAGTAAACTACCAAATAAAAATATATATTTAATAACAATTTGAAATTTTTTTAAATAAATCACCATAGTTACACAAATGTAATAAAATTTTCAAAAATGTTCCTAAAACTACATTTTCATAAAATAACATTTTTGAAATTAAAAGATATAAAGTATTTGAAAGTTTATTTAAAATGCACTAAATAATTATTGAAAATTATTAGAATATTTTGGAAATTTTAGGAAATTTTATTATATTTGATAGATTTTGGAAAATCATTGAAAAATTATGTAATTTTCATTGCAAATTATTAAAAGTTATTAAAGATAAATGACTATGGGAAATGGAAATCTATAATTTGAACAAATAATTACACAAATTATGTAGATAAATTGGTATAATATTTGGTTAGTTTATATTAGAAATTATAAGATAAATTAGTATAATTATGTAATTAAACCATTTAAAAAGAAAATAAATTATTTAATAAAAATTTAAATAAATTTGAATAAATTTTCAAAATTACACAAGTATAATAAATTTTCCAAAATTTTCATAAAATTACATTTTTGAATATTAAAGACAATTTAGTGTACTTTTAGAAATTTACCATGTGGTGGATACTCAATATATCCTTTTGATAATTTCTATCATCAAATTGAATATTGGGTTAACGGGGACAGTGTTTTCAAAACTGGATCAAACTAGATGGTTAGACCAAAAAATTGGAAACACCGTTTCTCCTCAAAACCTCTTTTTGTCCAAAAACCATTTATTTGTTAAGTGAACCGTTGACTTGGGTGGTCGAATCGTCAACCCGGACAATAGTTTTTGGCCTTTTTTTGTTTTTCTAATTTTTTATTTTTTTTTTGTCGAAGGAAGTCATCCGTTTGACAAACAGACCGTTTGACCCTAGAACGGTTCCCTATATGGTCCAATTTTAAAAACCTTGGATGGGGAGTGGGTGCCTTGCCTTGAGATTGGCTTGGTGTGCGGCCTGGCATGGCCCAAGGCCCGGTCCATGGACCAGCCCGACCCATGGCATGGCACGGGTCCGTGCAGGCTCATGCCGTGGGCCGTGTCGCCGACATTGAGGAGTGGTTACCTTGCCCTGAACACGCATGACACTGGGGATGGGGTGCCCTGCCCTGAATCCACCTGATTGTCATTGCTATATAATTGTTAATTATTAGTGAAATTAATAAAAATATTAACTTTTATATTTATTTTAAAAGTAATCAAAATTTCAAAAGTAAAAATTATTAAAATTACCACAAATTATTAATAAAACTATATTTATTAAAAAATATTTATTCATATTCAATTAATAATTATTATTTTTATAAATCAACATTAAATAAAAAATAGAATTATTAAATCTTTAAAGTTTTTTCCGTACATCGCACGGGTCACTGCTAGTTACCTATTAATAACGAGGCCCAAGAAGCCAAGACTATGTAAGAGACTGAGAGCACTAGTGGGCCGAGACTCTCTCTCTCTCTCTCAATCTAAAAACAAGACTAATTCAATAATGCTTTTGTTTTCCAGCTTGTAACAACGGTTAATGAGAAAAATTGGCTTTTATCATCTAACCACAGGATCATTAAATGAACTAGAGGGATAAAGATTAGCGGAAGCGAAAAGGAAGAACGGAAAAATGTTAAACAATATCTGGGTGTGGGGAAGACCGGATGAGGAACTAGTTCCATATTTGAAAAAAAAAAGTCTTTGTTAATGCAGGGAGAATCGCAGTGACCAGAGTTAAAAAGATTTTGGACTTTAGAGGCATGTGCATATCAGTGAATTTTGGACTTTTGGGCTTGCCATATGTGCTTTTCACTTGTGCTTTCGTATGCCACACACCATTCGTCTCCTACACTCCTACTTTTGGTAAAACCGGAGAACTGAAGATATGTTAGATGGATCGTCAATTCGTCATCCCCGTCTTGGTTTTTTTGGGCCTGCCATTTGGGCTTTGTGTGCCTAACACGAAACCCAGCAACCAAGTCAGGCCAGCAGTCTAATGACCCAGAAACTCTCCCACCCACTTGCACCTACCTTCCAGTTCGATCTCTACAGTGCGAAGCTGTATCACAAGATTGCCCTTATCTATGTGGGGCCCGGCTGTCTGATTGTTCGATCTCTGTTTGAATGGGCCATCATGTGAAGGGTAATGATGGCCATTCGACCATCCGATTGCACGGTGGACCCTCCGTTCTTTGCTACGTGGTGCAACTCTTTAACCGACGTGTAAAAAAGCTGCCGTTGTTAACGGTCGGAATGATTTCGGTTTGAGGGGAGAATGCCAGCACAACGCGCATTAAAATGCGGAACCCAAATACCACACGAAACCCACCCCTGATAACATCGGCTCCGGCTATTGGATCAGAATCCTTGATTAAAGAGATTCCAATCCCACAATTTTAGGGCGCTTACCGATGGACCCCGTTAAAGAGACACGATCACCACCTCCCGAGGCCTGTCAGTCAGTGTCAATCCAAGCCACTTGATTCATTAAAAAACGAAGAAAAGAAAGAAAAAAGAAAATGACTTGATTCAGTGGCAAATCAAATGGAAAAGACTGAGAGAGTAGTAATAGGCGATTTCGTTAATCAAGATTAGACCATTAATTTGCAATAAAAGCGAACACAGCAAACGTGTTGTATACTCCAACATCGAACTGCACTGCTCCCTGCGAACATGCTTCCGTAGATTGCGGACCACTGGTACTGGTGTAGCCTTCGTCTTCGCTGTTATCTCCTCTGAACTGAAACCGTCTGATGAGGATGATATGATCCTTCCTTGATTCATTGATTCTAATCTGCCTGGCGTCTGAGTCTGTGAGTCTGTGACTCGGTCCCGGTTGTTATATGCCACCTTTTTTAATTCTCTTGTATTGCAACCAACATGCAAGCCTCGGCAGCTTTCTGAGTCAACCAACTCGGCCTAACCATATGCAAAAGAAGGAGAGAGATCTGAGGATTGAGGTAGAAGAAGAGATTGAACGCGAGAAATTCATTAATTCTTCAGACCAAACGTGAAAGATAAGAAAGATGCAAGAACAAGAACCCTTAATATATATATTCCATATTCGATCGGTTAATGAAGCTAGTTTATCGGGGATTTACAGAACAAGGACTCCCAAATCTCAGAGAAAGCTTCTACGATGACACCATGGTGTTGTCGCGAGTTCAGAGATAGGAAACACTGCAGGAGCTGCTCCAAGTCTTTCGCTTCGAACATCTGTTTCTCCAATATCATCTCCAACATTGATCTCTTGAAATCTTCGTACGGGTCCTTCGACTTCTTCACCACCGCGTAGCTCTCCCTCACCTTTCCCTCCATTACACACGGTATCATTCTCCTAAACACCGACAACCTCGCCGGCGATTCTGTATCCGGAGATGGACACCCTGTCCTCGTCGCCTTCCGTGGTGCTGTTCCTCCGTTACACCTCAAAGCGTTATGCTTCTCCCTCCTCATATTGTTCTTCTTTTTGTGACGCCTTTGGCCGTTCATAACGCTGGGCGGTTCGCGTCTTGCGTCCAAGTTGGGGTAAAACTCCGAAGAAGAATCAGTCGATAGACTTCTAGACGTAGATACTAGGGTTCCGTTTTCTTCGTCGTCGTTCTCTTCACGTCCGCTGCTGAACCAGCCGCTATCCGACGATGTACTGATACGAGACCTCAGTCTCAGTTTCGACTTCTTACTCATTTGTTTCTTCTTGGGCTTCTTCTTTTCCATCTTTGTAAGTGGTTGTACTGATTTCGGCGATGTTTCGTCATCGGAGTCGCCGGATAGTGACGAGCTGTAAATTTTCCGCCGAGGCGCCTCTTCATGGACTCTGGCGACAACGTGCCACTTCCCATCTCTCTTCCATTTGTAATCTGGCGACCTGATGTTGTCATCAGAGGAATCTACGTAATATCTGCAGCTAGTGGCGGTTCTTGATCGGCAGCCGCAGCCGACGGACACCAACGCGCCCGACACGTGGCGTCTCAGCGAAGAATGATGATACTTCGAGGACGATTGTGTTGGTGGAAATGGGTTCGGGAAGGCTGTACTCGCCGGAACATCGATGCCTATGGTCTTGGGTATGACCGTAGAGAGTCGAAAAATCACAGGCTGTGGATTCTCCGGCAGGTCGGAGGGGTCCTTGGAACGGCAAGACTGAAATGATAGGAAAACTCGGGAAATTCGAAGCTTGAGTCGCTTCGCCATCTGTGTTTTTTCTTTATCTCTCACTCGCTTCTTTCCACTTTCAAGAGTGGGCGTTTGAAGAGTTAAAACCATATATATATATACATGGAGAGAGAGAAAGAGAATAGGGCTTAACAAAGTATTATATTTTTAATCAAAATTATAAACTAATGGAGAAGAGAGAGAGAGAGAGGGAGATCGGGGTTCGGGGGGGAACGAATCCTGCAGAGCGGCAGAAGAAGCGGCTGTGGGCTGTGGAACGGAAGAGATAAAGGAGGGGATTGGGCCGGGCTAGTCTGGGCCAGCCTGCGACGCAGTCATTTCAATGCAAATTTCGCGTATCTCGAGAGCAATCAATATCTCGGGCTAAGTCACGTCTTGCGTGTAAGTGCGTGGGTACGTCAAAGCAGCAAAAGTACCCGATAAAACCCGGGTTTGGTGGGTTCACCGCTGCTCCTCCTCGATGGGTTGGGCTGGGCCTGGGTCCTCCGGGCGTCCTTGTGTTGAGCCCAGAAATAAATAAAAAGCAACAATAGGAACAACCAGTACACCCCATGAGAATGACCCACCACTCGCTTGTAGATCTTCTGTTTCCTTCATCTATGTCTATGTACGTTTGTGTAATGCATCGCTGTTGGGGTTTCTTCCTCTTAACACGTGGCCCGGCTTATCATCGAAGATTGCGTGCCACTGCGATGACGTGTACCGTGACTTAAGTGGGAAACCTGCAACTGGGTGTGCCGGTAAGGACCCGATCTTCAAATCCGGTTTATGTGTTGTGTGGTGGGTCTAGCCGTCTAGGGGTCTAAGCTAACACTACACTGCCAACTCCTTTTAACTGAAAATAATAATTATATGAACAGAAAGACAGACAGACACACATGTCTCTCTTTTGTTTCTCTCCCTCATAGATCTTTGACGTAAGATGCGGAAGGGGTACACAAGCAGTAGGACTGTAGGAGATTTAGACAAGTTAAAAGGCAGGAGCGACATGAACCAATTAATATTTGGATTAAAAGCCGCCTTCACTTTCGGAAGATAAAAAAGAAAAAAAAAAAAAACAGCAGAAGGGTCTGGACTTCTAAAATACGCTTTGAGTGTTGAGGGATTATCGAGGTGTATCCAGCCGTACGCTGATGGATTCTTTGGATAATAAATGCAACTAGTACTACCCCCCCCTCAGGCTCAGCCAGTAAAAATATATGTTTTCTTTTTTAATCGAAAATAATTTCTTCTTTTCACGAGGCCCCCCGGTCACGACGGACGCGACAAATCATTCTCTGACTTGGCTACGTAGACATGTCCACGTCACATTACACGTGGAGAAGAGACAGTCAGTAACTGACAAATTCGTAAAATTCTTGGCGTGTCCTCAGCCTCAAAAGGTCTCAACAAAATTTTGGCTAGATTTTCCATCCTTTGCCTGCTCTTCTAGTTCTAAGAAGTCTCCTTCGGCTGCTGGAGGTCCTCCTCTAGTCCTCTGTCCTCCCCCCAGGCCCCAGGTCTTTTCTCGTTTACCGTATAAATCAGGTTGCATTTTTAGACATGGTTTTCTCTATATCTACGCAAATGCCACCAGAGTCTTGTATCTGAAGTCACACACACGCACGGCTGTGCGCATAGATTCCATTTTCAGGTACTGAAGCGTAGCTTCACGTGGAAGACATGTACAGGGTTGATAGTTGATACTTAACATGTGGCAATTGATTTGACCGGGCCCACTCCCGGGAGAGAAAGCGAAAGATCAACGGCTTGTTATATGGAGCCCACAAAAGTCAGCAGTCAGCACCCAATCCATATCCATCAATCCTGGGCTGCAAACGGATCGAATCGGATTCGGTAAAAATATATCCGATCCGATAAGAAAATCCGACCGGTCCAAAACGGATAAGAATCCGTCGGCTTTTCAAGAGAATTTGAATATTCAATCCAAATCGGATTCGATTAGAATTATAATAAAAACCTATGATATAATATAAATAATATTATTTAGAATATACATATAACGATTGGGTTGTGGCAGATCCAAATTCGACCTATTAACCAAAATGATTGACTTTGGAAATATCCAAATCCGGCTTTTATTGGTTGGATTGAATCTGAATCCGATCCAATTTATTTGCAGCCCGACTCCCTAGACAAGTCATCGAGGAAGAACCGTCCACACCATGGAAACATCATGCCCGATCTCCTCTTTGTTTGGCAGTGGTGGGTCCAGGATGCCCAAGCTATCATTCCTCAAGATGGTGAGAGTGGTCCCACTCCCACATACTTGGGACCACTGGTCTACTGGTCTCTCTCCTCTTTGTTTGAGGCGAGTTGGTCCCGACTATACAGAGGATGATGGCAAGAAAAAGAAGCAGCAAAGCAACCCGTCTTTGTTTGATCCCGGAGAATGAAAGGGGTGATGGCATGGAGACAGCGAAGGGCGAAGGATGCCAACATGTGCAAGCACAAGGAGCGTGGCTTCCTTTTTGCCAAAAATAATAATAAGAGACAGTAGAAAAATCGATTCCAACGATCAAACCCCTCACATGTGGGGAAATGGGATCCAAGGGAACAGAATCATTCTCCTTTTTTCATGCTCCGTGTGGAAATAAAGCCAGCGTGGTGTATAGGTCAGCTGACAGAGGATCCATGTGGAGTTGTAATGGTCCAACCCATTTAACTGGTCCAAGAGGCCGGTTGCAGCTGAACTGAAAGTATGGGTCTTTAGTGTGCGATACATCTGATCCAAATAGAAATCCAAATCTGATCCAACAACTGAAAGTATGGTTGGGATTAAATCCGAATATATCCAAAATCTGATATGATAATTGGATGTGGATGCAGATTTAGAGATTTCATAATCGGATACAGATGTCGATACATCTAAATCCAATCTAATTACAGCCCTAAAAATAACAGCACTGGAAAAGGAATGGGCATGCCCATAATAAAAAGAAGGCATGGGCAAGATCAGCTCTACTCTAATGTAGATTTAGAGTGTCTGTGGGCCTAAGCGCAATTCTAATCGAAGTCACTCTTGGGAATCCAATTAATGGAGTTTGATTTGATGCGCCAGAATTAGGCTCTTGGGAATCCAAACTGATTAAGAGTAGGAACACCAGTGTCAAAGTGGGCCTTATCCAATGATGGATTTTTCCCCAACGAGAAAGGAGGCCCACAATCGGTGGGCTATGATATGGGCCGAACGACGGATTAATTTGAGCGTTCGGAGAAATGCAGTGGTGACGGAAAATTTCTCTTTTGTTCACACCCTCCGCCACCATCGTATTCAATTGACCTGAAAAGGGAAAATCTATGATACCCGAAAGACATAGTACCCGACAAGTTTGATCAAATCAATGTACTCTGTCAATTTTGATCAATACCATCTGATTGATTTGATTGGCCTTAAACTTTTCCCGATATCATATCTTTTCGGTATTGTAAAATTGTAATGTGTTATTTCATTTTTAGGCACAATAATTTGCAATGAATTTACTATTCAGGTGCATAGATTGCAATTTTATTTTGGATGAATATAAATTTATAAAAATAGGGTCATGCATAGATATTTTATATAATTCAGCTGGAGTATAAATTTATACGAGTTCAGAAATTATAATGGGTTCTTGTGTATTTTGCATAAAAATGTAAATTACAATTGGTTCATATTGATTGGAAACTACTTCACAGCAGCAACGGCCGAGCCAAATATATTGGTGGGGTCCTTAGTCCTCCAAATTTTTTTGTTAGAACCATTATTTATATGGCTATTAAATGGAGGCTTGGCCCCCAAAAAACTTGAACTAAAATGTAAAGGATCATTCTCTAGTCTCTAACTCTTTCAACTCTCTAAATTAAAAAGAAGGTAATAAACCCAAACCTTCTCTGGCCATTTCCCCCAAACCCTACTTCTGCTCCCCATCACATTATCTTGTTTTACTTGCCCCTCCTCCCCAAAACCAAATTCCTGTCTCTGCCACTGCTCACAGAAGCTGTTAAGTGTGAGACATTTAGATAAGGTTATGTGGCAAATAGGGACCGGATTTGGTCCAATCCAATCCAATCCAATATGAGTCCATTACGGATGGATTAAGTCCAATCCAATTCAATGAATCCTCTAGATCATTTTGGATTAATCCAATTCAATGTCTGGACCGTCCAATATATTCAAATAAATTTTAATTTAAATTGGTTTCAACCCAAACCTGATCCATTAATACTTGTATTCTTATCTTCTACCAATAGACTGGATATTGTTTCAATCTGACCCAATTCAATATATATCAATACATTACACATGGACCGGGTTCCAATCCAATCCAATAAATACTTTGGAGTTTGGAACATTAGGTCTGAACTGGTCTAATTTAATATATCTTATTGGTCTATCCAATCCGTCCAAATTGATTTTAATTTGGACAGGGTCGAACCCAAAAATGATCTATTAACACCCTTTGGAAGGCAAGGGACAGGCTTATTTTTGAGCAAACATCCATGGTTTGTACTTTCTAGCTCACAGCTAGTTATAGGAGTTCAAGACCACCAATGCAACTCAAAATGATGTAATCTCTATAGTTTTGACTGGCAAATCTTTCCCGATCAGTCGATGATTAGTCGAACAAGTTTCTTTCGAAGATGAAAAATAAAATAAAAGAATAAAGAAATAAATATGAAAGAAAATACATAAATAATTAGTTCATCAGTCCTTGAGTTCCACAATTGAGGATTGTTGTACAAGCGCCTTCGTTTGAATAACACCATAAATAATTTAAACAAGAATCTAAGCCTACGAGACCTTATCGAACGAATATATTGTATACTTTAATTGATCTGACCAATTGTGGTTCTAAGCTGGGTTGGCCCCTTTGGAAACTAGTTTCTATGCAATGCAGATTAATATGATAGCGTGGACCAGTTTAACAAACTCCCACTCTACTAACTTGGACCCCAAGACTTGAGCTAGGAAGAACCAGAGACGACGACGACGACGACGAGAGAGTGTGGAGAGAGAAGGGGAGACGTTCTTCCCGAAAAATCGGACCAGTCAGATAAGGCCAACCATATATCCATAGGTTCTCT